AAGGAGACTTTCCACTGTGCCTTTTGCAACTCTACTTGCCTATCCCGCATTGGCCTTTTTAGCCATCAGTGCGCTTGTAGCAAGTGTGGGTAGGGCCCTTCCCATATCTTTGTTCGCAAAGCCTAGCCACGATGATGATATATATAATGCTATGGAGCATTATATATGTTTTGTCAAAACAGTAATGAAAGAAAAATCCAAAACTTTCACTATCTAAAAAATAAATAAAATATACAAAACAATTTAATACCAGATATTAGTCTAAATGTTTCTAAAAACTGAAATTAGACCTCTTGTCATTAGGAATTTCTATATGCCAGAACATGGTCACGTTATGATACCTGGCAACACAAATTTATTTCTCTGATACCAGCCTGAGAAACTTAGTGGCCCGAGGACAAGCATCAGTCTGACAGATGTTATAAGTGCATGGCAGAGGCAGTGGGTTGAACAATCAGGAGTAAAGGAACAACTTTTCCCCCACCAATTCCCTCCTTTATCTCTCTGGTTTATATTCTGTGGCTGTGAGGGGATGATATTGTGCACCACTGGAGCCTTTAATAGACAAATGCTTGGGTAGGCTGGCAACCTTCCCCTATGCCCTAGCTGAATTCCCAAACCTTATTTTTCTGGTTTTTACTTTCTCTTAGCTCTGTAGCTCTCTTATATGGCCATCTTCAGAGCGCTTGTTTTCTCAGCACTTTAATCCCTCTGGAAGACAGGTGCCTGCCCCTCCACTTGCAGTAGCTCAAAGCAGCGTGTGTGCTGCTCGCGTGTCAGTGGTGCAGCAGTGACACTTGCCTTGGAGTCTGGGGGTGTGCATCAGAGGAGATGCTGTAGCAAATAAGCCACATGCAGAGTTACTTCTGGTCATTTTCCCTATCTTCAGTTTGACACCTCTTGCAAAATCCAAAGAATTTGGAATTCTGAAGGGTTTTATCTCTTCTTTCCCTTTGCCTCTCCTCCCCCTCCTGTCTTTCCAAGTGATGGCTTAGCTTTGGTGAGCTGTTACTCAGAGATATCGAATATAATAAAGGCCATTCCTTGAGACTTATTCACTGTTAAGAGAAGTCATAAAGGTCTTCACACTTTCCCACCATTCCCTCAAATGTGCTCATCCTAATGAACACTCCGCGTTCCTGAGGCCCCTGTGTTGTGCCGTAGCATCGCAAAGGGCCTCGCACTCTCTGACACAAATGTGCTTTCACAGGCAGTTTGTGCAGATGCCGGGCACTGAGGTTAGAGGCGGGGCAGCACCCCACTCTCGGCTAGCCAGGCACCCCTGGTCCTTCTCTCGGGTTAGGGTTGAGCAGAGCGGCTGCAGAACCCCCAGAGCCACCGTAACGCTCAGCAGCGCTGCAGACCCAGGTGGCTCAAGGCTTTGAAAGGTCTGTCTTTTCCAATTTAACTACTGCCACAATCGCTATGAGCTCCAGATCTCCTTGGTTTTAGTCCTCAAGCTTTTTGTCTTCTGAATACACGTATGTGTCTATGGTATTTTTCTCTGTCATTGATACATTTGTTTAAAGGGTTGAAGGGTTATAATGCTTTTTTTAAATTGTGTCGTCAAGTAATGTCCGTTGGTATGCAGTTTAAGCATAAAGAATAGTTATTATCTTACACAGATAAGAAGATAACACTGTGTACCCTAATAATCCATTTAGCTTGGTTTATTTCAGTGAAAGGCCAAAGTAACTACATCCTGGCCTTCTGAAACATATGAGCAATCATCTGTGCAGTGTCACTGTATGTTTGGGTTTTTGTTAGTTATCGTATGAGCATCTAAGGCTATAATAAAGGCTTGTTAGATTTTTAAATTTTTTTGTCATTATTATGGCTGTGATACTCCTACATATGTATTTAAGATTAAGTAAGATGGGAAGATGCATACAGGAGATATTTGCATTGTAGTTTTCTTGTCTTCAGAATTTTGCAAAATTAAGTGGAAAAATACAGAAGAATATATGTCTTTCTTGTTAGTTTCGTAAGACAGGGAGGATTGTTACTGCCATCCCCTAAGAAATATGTTGATATGGTGTTGAACCACGTGGATGTATGTGCAGAATCCTGCAGTTGCAATGTTGATTCATTCCCTTGGTAGGAAACAGCACCAGGTATGACCTCACCCCTGTCACTGCTGTCAGCGTTCATCTCCTCAACAGCGATGGGACCCCAATCCCTGTGAATGGCCCCATCTATGTAACAGTGCCTCTGCCCACAAACAGCAACTTGAAGCACAATGCACACGTTCCAGCGTGGAGGTTTGACCAAAAATTTGGTAAGTGACATCTCCTCGTGATTCTCTAGATGGGTTCATTTGTCTGAAACCAATGTCTCACCGCATTTATTGTGTTAATATAGTGCGGTCTTCACTGGCGCATACAGTAATCTGTTTTCTGTCTAAAGAGAGAGAAGACTGAGTTTCATGGACTAAGTAATATATAGTTTATATGCAGATATACTTGAGTAGCATTGTGTGCCACTTCTAGACAAAACTTTTTGTAAATGTACCATTTTGCAATTATTAAATATTATATGTAAAAACTAACCTGAAAGAACTTGTTTTCACACACAGACTGAGAAGCAGAGACACATATTCACTCCAGCATTGAACTGGAAGTCCGGAGAAATGAAAACTAGTCTTATCTTTGCCAGCAGCCAGCTATCTGACCTTTGGTCCTTCTCTTGTCTGTAGCTCAGATTCCTGCCTGTCAGATAGGAAACACAGAACTGACTTCTTTTTTAAGTCACTTTGAGATTGACTAACACTATCAAGAAAAAGAGTACATGTAATTTCTTTTTTTTAAAAAAGAAGCAAGCAAAATTCATGAAATATTTTGAAAGGACAGAATGACTAATCAATATAAGCTGTAAAATGCACTTAGTTTTTTACATTGCAGGATAACGTTTATTATTGTGAACATGAATATTTTCCAGAATTCTGTGGTTTAGGCTCTCTATTTTTGTTCTGGTTTGTGTTTTTATTGCTAGTCAGTATACCAGCCTGGTCTTCTTTACACCTTCAAAGTGTAAGGGATTAAGGGGTACATAAGTCTTGTCCTGGTAATTGCCCTTCAGTTGTTGCACTGTGCCTTCTGACATACGTACCAGATGGTTGTTAAGAAAAAGTGAAAAAAGAAGAATGGAAGGTGGGAAAGGTAGATGCTGTGAGGAACAGAGGAGGAAAAAGGAGCCAGAAGTGTTCATCTGCATAGGCAATCAGGGTTTTTTTTCCTTTCTGCAAGGCAAATGTTTTGAGCCAGTGCACGATGACATCTGAGAGTAGAGCAGCGAGTACGTTGGAGGAAGGGAGGGGTGGGGGAAGAGAGAAGGGAAGGGGGAAAAAAAGCTTTTTCTTCCTTCCTGGCTCTGTTTGCTGGAAAAGGTGGTGTATTTTCAAACAGCGTGCCTATATATCTTTTGTCAGAAGTTGGCTCTGTTAGAGAGTAAAGCAGTGGGATTTAACGAAAAATAAATTTGAATGTGGTATAAAATTGAATAGTAGAAAAAAAGACAGTGCAAGTAATGGATTCAGGGCTTCCCCTAACTGTGAAAATGGCACTTTTGTTGTGGTGTCCTGGCAGTAGGTTTCACTGCATTCTGCATGAAACTGCTTTTGATTTGTGATTCAAGAAACTATTTTAATAGTTTTCACTTGTTCAAAAAAAAGACAGAGAATACTGACTCGTTTACTTTCTCCACAAGAATCAGTCCATCCCCAGTCCTTCCTGTCAGCTGTTATAGCTGCAGCTTGCCTCATTGCTGGGTACTCACTGCTAGCAAAATGGGCCTGATTTTGATTATGAAGCTTTCTCATTTATGGCCACATTTCCATGCCCCTGTGGTGGGGGCCGCAAAAGCTCTCTCTTAGTATGGAACATGGTCTCTACTTCTGTATGTAAAGAGGTAGTTACCCTATTGTGTCCAGTATATATTAGTCTAGATCGATACGGGTTAGGTAATTGGTGTTACAGGCTTGAGGCTCCTAGTCTTGAGACAAGTCCAGCCTTGTTTGCTTCATGACAAACTAGCTGCTCGAGCACTTGTGTTATTGGGGAGGGGAAGGCATGAGGACCACTAAACAAAATCCATCTTTGTCGGGCCACTTAACTCCACAAACCCGTGGAGAGGAAGGTACTGAAGACATTAGGCTTAGGCTTCAGCTCACACTTCAGCTGAAGTAAGCATCTTTCTGTGCAGCAAAGATGTTGAACAAAGATGCATTTAAGTCCTGACTACAGCATGCCAGTTCTAGCAGAATTTTGGCCACATCCCAACCGATTTAAATTAGAGTAGCCTAATTTAATAAGTAGAGCATCCACTCTGTCTTTGCGGGCTGCATTAGCACCCTAAGGGCTGTCAAACTAGCCATATGTAGCGTGAACACGGTGGTACCCTGTCATTCCCAACATCCCCATGTTGTGCTTGGACTGTGAAGGGAGGAGAGTGGATGATGGCTGGGATGGCTCCATGCTCGAGAAATTCTTAACTGGCAAAGAATTTGTTGTAACCCATTTGCACTGCCAGATCTGTGCCTTGTCAGGATAGGACCTCTAACCTCGTTACTCTGATTTTGTCTTTCATTTCAGGAGCTTCTTTTTTCAGTGCTAGTTTTGTTGTGGCCTCTCCGTAATAGATTTTTCAGTGGCTTAAATTTCAAACTATCTGAAAATTGAGTAAATACCAGAGATGGAAAACTGTTACTATATAACCAGGCAATAACGCAGCCCTTCTCTCTAGCGTTTGCGGTACAGTGGATGCTTGTTCGTGCAAGCCATTGTTTTTGTTTAGAATCCATGCGATTGTCTTCATTACTGCATGAAGTATAATTTCTGCTCTAAAAAGCAGAAATACTTTTCACTTTTAAAGGAGGGAGCAAAGAGAGGACAGAAACACTACAAATACGTTATAATCTTTAAAATCTCATACATTTTGCTGTGCTCGTGGTAGGCTAAACACAGTGGCATCTGATTGGAACTGGAGAGATTTTCATCGTTTCTACAGGAATGAGACATATTTGCATATTACAGCAGCCAAAAATAATTAATACCTTTTTTAAGATGTTTACCGTAAACAGTCTCTATTTTCATGACCACAGTTTCTGTCCTTGAGAGAGAACTGAGGAGAAAAGGAGGAGAAGCATCATCATCTACTTGAGGCTGAGGGTGGTTCCATTGACACTGACGAAACACACAGCCAGAAGAAGCAGGCTGACATCAAAATAAGACAATCTGCTACATCTATTTTACACTGTTCTAAATAAGACTTTTCACTACAAAACAAACTTTCTGCCTTGCTTGCACAGCAAGCAAGTTAAAGCAGCAGTACCTTTTTTTGACTAACTAATAAAATGAAAAGCAGCTATCAATGCCCTGGTGGAGTTTTTAGGGTAAATGAATACATCCAACCATCTCATGCTGGAGATGCACTGCACCACCTTTCTCTGCTGCTTTTCTTAGAGTTGGTAATAATAGGCACAGATGCATTGATATTACAGAGATATCTACAGTAAGATGCAACTTAGTCATTCTGTGCTGTTGACATACCCATCTCTTGTGTTTCACGCTGCTGTGGGAGATTGGTTTTATTTCATAGTACACACTTAAAGGTGTGAACATGAAGAGATCTGGATTCTCATTTTTATAATCAAGATTGCTCAGTGGGGTTTTCTGGCTTGTGAGCTTCCCCCCCCCAAGCACTGTCCTTTTTTCCTCAAAATCTGAAGGGGCTAAAATACTTTTTTCTTCTTTATCCATAAACAGATGGTTGAGGTCGTGACTTCCTCCCCGTATGTTTTCCTTGATGTCAGTAGGATTTATAGCAATATAATTAATCTCTCTATTCTTGGACACTAAATTTCTGTCCAAGAGTTCTGTCTAGCCTTGTCCTTTTCAGTCAGAAATTAATATTACAGATCCCAGTAGAAATGAAACTTTGTGCCTCCTGTATCATTTCCAGCTCCCACCAGCTGGACTGAATAACACAGCACTTGCTCAGCTGTATTCTCCTCAGCCCCCATTAAAATGATTTATGCTTTACGGTAAGGGGTCCGGTTTTTGTTGGTTTCACAGAGCAAAACTCTAAGACTGGCATTCTCTGTCCCCAGTTTCATCCCATGTGGTACAGACGCATTATGTTGCACCTCTAGATCCACATCTAGAGCTGTATGAAGGACTTCAAAATCTTACCAAAAATTCCAGAGTGTATAAGACAGAAATGGGGTTTAGTCTTCAGTGACAATACCAATGCATCTGCTAGTTTATTAATCCTACCAGATAACAGGAAAGTATTTTTAACACTGTTTTTGACCTTGTGTGGCAAAGGAATCTGGACTGAAGGGGTTAAACCCCCACACCCTTTTGCTCCGCCTCCTTTAAATGTGTTATTTCTTGTGCAGTGTGTGTAAATGAAGTTCAGAGCACTATTTCTCTGTTCTTCCTCCTCCTCAAACACTTGTACATCTTTGACGTGACCTTGTTGTCTTTAAATGACTAGCTTCTTCACAGAGGAGCATGTTTCCCTAGTGCCTGAAATCTCAGCCATGTATTAATGTAAAGTGATGGCAGAATATGCAGAAGATTATCTTGGGGAACTCTTTTTATAGTTTTATAAAGCAAAATACTTTATGTACTGTACTGTGCTTGGTCAGTGCTTTCTGACTGCATTTAATACCGTAATAGAATTCTAAATACATTTGAAAGTCTGGTACTTACTTTTTCTGGGTGACATGCTGCCTTCAGTGATAAAATTTCCATTAAGTTTTGTAGAGTCCGAATTTCCTGATGTTCCTTCCTCAGCAAAATGAAGATGTTATTTTCTGTGCTCAAAAGTCATGAGGATATGTTTATGTATAAACAGTAACGATGCCTACTTAAACTTGACTGCAGTACGGTTGTGATGTATTTCATGGAGGTGAAATGATGCTTGTTTTTTGTTTGTAGTGTTTACAGGGAGAGCAACAGGTCCTGTCAGTCAGAAAATGTCAGCAGGTTACTGTATATCTACCTGTCTAGTTCACTGCACGCTATATATAAATAAGACGATTTGTAAAAGTCTCTGATTTAAGCTTCCCATTTGGTAGCAACAATAGTCCACCCAAAGAAAAGATTGACTTATATTTTCGTAATTTAAAAATAAAGTGTATTCCTTTTTGTTGTGAATTCACTTAACTTCTGATTGCCGCCGGATTCATACACTGCACAACAGACAGAAAATAATAATTTGACAAAAGCTTCTGCAATCTGTTGCTTGATCTGCCACTGGATATGAGTGCGTGTC